GTAAATCTGTTACAAAAACTAATAAAAATTTTGCTAGTGAAATTTCAATTAAAGCTTCAAAATGAAAGGGATAGAGAGAAAATAGAAAGAGAAAAAGAAAAATTGATTAATTTAGACCTTAGGAAAAGCTCCTTTATATTTTCTTTTTGAGGATTTAATTAGTCGCTCAAGTGAGCCTTGGAGCAACATTAAAGTTTGTCTCCGTGTATTAGGGTAGGTTATCTACATCGCACCTCTTGGATGCGGTCATTTCCCATACGATCATACCCGAAGTAAATACGGAATATCTTATGCACCGAGTTGCTCTCTCTATTAGTCGCTAATGTTTTCAAGTAGTGCATGGAAAATGACGTTCTGATGGAATCCTCTATTTTTGAAAATTGAATGTTCGTCAGATCGTAGTCTAAATTAATGAGTAATTTGTAGATGTTCCACTCATAATTAATGGGTGTCATAACGAAATTAACAAAAAATGGACCAAGATAAAAAGAATTAATAATTATTAATCATTTAAATCGCTATCAATTCCATTTTATTGTGGGTCAACTTATTATTTTCAAAGTGATCTTACCAATCATGTCAATTTGGTACATAAACAAGATAATAAATATATTTCCATCAAAGCACACCACTCATGCATTAATTTACTCGTCTAATATAGATTAATTTAATCAAAGGCCGTTAATAGTTTAATTTTATTTATTCACCAATTATGCATTTGGTGGGGATATCCTGTGTTAGTAGTGGTGCTCGCTACACTTCTTGCCAATTATAATTTAAGTTTCAGAATTATTCAGTATATGCTGGTGATCTGGTGGAAGATAAGGCCATGTGTTTATCAACAAAGTATTTTGTTATTTATTTTAATCAACATAAATAGTGTTATAAATAGAATTTTATTATTTCATTGTAATTCATTCCAATTCAATACGAATTTCCTCTCTCTTTTTCTCTGCAATTTCTTTTATTGTTTTATAGTAACACGTTATCAGCACGAGACTCTACCGTCTCAAGAAGCTTTTGAAAAGATTAAGCAAATATGGATTCCTTACAAAGCAAACTTGGGTCAAAGTTCAATTGTAAAAATATTTGTTTAATTGATTCATGTACGACACGTACAATATTCAAAGAGAAGAAATATTTCTCTCATTTAAGTATGTGTAAGGCAGATGTTACTACAATTTCTGGTAGTAGTAAATTAATTGAAGGCTCTGGAAGAGCTACTATAGCTCTGCCTAAGGGAACAATACTTATCGTAGAGAATCCAATGTTCTCCTCCAAGTCTAAGAGGAACTTGTTGAGTTTTAAAGATATCCGCCGAAATGGATATCATATTGAGACAATAGATGAGAATAATCTTGAATATCTCATCATTACCAAGAATGTCTCTGGCCAAAAGAGGATTATTGAGAAGTTCCCATCTTTATCTTGCGGCCTGTATTGGACAAGAATTAGTGCAATTGAGGCACATTCTACCGTAAACCAAAAGGTTACTGATTCCAATACTTTTGTACTTTGGCATGATCGATTGGGACACCCTGGATCAATTATGATGAGACGAATTATAGAAAACTCAAATGGGCATCCATTAAAGAATTTAAAGATTCTTTTAGTATGAATTTTCTTGCACTTCTTGTTATCAAGGCAAGTTAATTATAAGACCATCACCAACAAAGGTAGGGATTGAGTCCCCTGCGTTTTTAGAACGTATACAAGGGGACATTTGTGGACCTATTCACCCACCTAGTGGGTCGTTTAGATATTTTATGGTCTTAATAGACGCATCTTCTAGATGGTCTCATGTGTGCCTATTGTCATCTCGCAACCTCGCATTTGCAAAATTAATGGCACAAATAATTCGATTACGGGCGCAATTTCCCGATAATCCAATTAAGTCTATTAGACTTGATAATGCTGCTGAGTTTTCATCCCAAGCATTTAATGATTATTGCTTATCAATTGGGATAACAGTGGAACATCCTATAGCTCATGTTCACACTCAAAACGGTTTTGCAGAGTCTTTAATTAAACGTTTGCAATTGATAGCAAGACCGTTACTCATGAAAACGAGGCTGCCCACTTCTATTTGGGGTCACGCCATTTTGCATGCAACAATGCTAGTTCGTCTCAGACCGACAAATTATCATAAATATTCCCGTTGCAATTAGTTTTAGGTCATGAACCTAATATATCCCATTTAAGAATTTTTGGATGCGCAGTATATGTGCCTGCAGCACCGCCATATCGCACCAAAATGGGTCCCCAAAGAAGGTTAGGAATATATGTTGGGTTTGAATCGCCCTCCATTATTCGCTACCTCGAAACATTAACGGGAAATTTGTTCACTGCACGATTTGCAGACTGTCGATTCGATGAGACACTTTTTCCAAAATTAGGGGGAGAAAATGGTGAAACCAAACGGGAAATTTTGTACAAAAATCCATCATTGTCTCATCTTGATCCACGTGCCTCTATTTGCGAAAAAGAGGCGCAAAAGATTATTCATTTACAGAGAATAGCAAATCAAATGTCAGATGCATTTACGGATATGAAAAGGATAACAAAATCACATATCTCTGCAGAGAATGTTCCAATCTGTATTGATGTCCCTATTGGACAATCTTCTAGTGTTATAGCTAATGAGTCAAAAGCATGCCTGAAACGTGGCAGACCATTGGGTTCCAAAGATCGAAATCCTAGAAAAAGGAAATTAAATGATAAAAATGACACTACAAAAGAATCTCATGAAGAAATCCACGATTTAATAAATTCTGAGATTCATGAGGAAATCACTGAGCCTGAGACTCAATAAAATAAGGAACTATCAATAAATCTAATCGATATTGAGTCAAATTTGTATCGATTGGATATAGTGGTGGATTATGTCTTTGCATATAATGTTGGATATAGCATTATGCAAGATAGTGAGGATCTTGAACCTCAATCTGTTGGAGAATATCGACAAAGACTTGATTGGCCAAAAGGGCAAGAAGCAATCCAATCAGAGTTGAATTTCCAAACACCTAATGGTGTTAAACCCGTTGGCTATAAATGGGTCTTTGTACGCAAGAGGAATGAGAAAAATGAGGTACAAAGATATAAGGCACGCCTTGTTGCACAAGGATTTTCACAAAGGCCTGGTGTCGATTATGAAAAGACATATTTACCCGTTTTGGATGCTATAACGTTTCGTTATCTCATTAGTTTTGCTGTCTATGAAAAGCTTGACATGCATTTAATGGATGTGGTTACCGCCTACCTTTATGGCTCACTTGATAATGAGATATACATGAAAATTCCCGAGGGATTTAAAATGCCCAACGTACGTAATTCATAGTTCCTGGAAATATTTTCAATCAAATTACAAAGATCTTTGTATGGTCTAAAGCAATCAGGGCAAATGTGGTATAATCGTCTTAGTGAGTATTTAATTAAAGGAAGGCTATATAAATGATGCCATTTGCCCATGCGTTTTCATAAAGAAAACAACATCGGAATTTGTTGTACTTGCCGTATATGTTGATGACATAAACCTTGTTGGAACTCCTATAGAACTCCAAAAGGCAATTGATTATTTAAATAAGGAATTCGAGATGAAAGATCTCGGATAGACAAAATTATGTCTAGGTTTGCAAATTGAACATTTGGCAAACGGAATTTTTATTCATCAATCTGCCTACGTAAAAAAGGTATTGAAATGGTTTTACATGGATGGAGCACATCCATTAAGTACTCCGATGGTTGTTCGATCACTTGATGTGAATAAGGATCCATTCCGACCTTAAGAAAAGAATGAAAAGCTACTTGGTCCTAAAGTACCATATCTTAGTGCAATTGGTGCACTAATGTATCTTGCTAACACTACAAGGCCTGACATAACCTTTTCAGTTAATGTCTTAGCAAGATATAGCTCTGCTCCCACAAGGAGACATTGGAATGGAATCAAACACATATTGTGGTATCTAAAAGGGACTACCGATATGGGCTTATTTTATGGCAATAATTACAGTCCTGATCTTGTTGGTTATGCCGATGCTGGATATTTATCCGACCCACACAAGGCTTGATCTCAAACAGGTTATGTGTTTACCTGTGGAGGCACTGCCATATCTTGGCGATCGACAAAGCAATCAATCGTGGCTATTTCATCTAATCATACTGAGATAATTGCTATTCATGAAACAAGTCGAGAATGTATGTGGTTGAGGTCTATAATACATCTTATTCGAGACAAATGTGATTTGAAGTGTGACAAACTACCCACAATTTTGTATGAAGACAATGCAGCATGCATAGCCCAATTGAAGGGAGGATTCATAAAAGGATATAGGACAAAGCACATTTCATCAAAGTTATTTTTCACTCATGATCTTCAAAAAAATGTTGATATTAATGTGCAACAAATTCGTTCAAGTGATAATATGGCTGATTTGTTCACCAAGTCTCTACCGACGTCAACCTTTAAGAAGCTAGTATACATGATTGGGATGCGAAGGCTCAAGGATGTGAATTGATGCTCTCATCAGGGGGAGTTAATGCGCGTTGCACTCTTTTTCCCTTACAAGGTTTTGTCCCACTGGATTTTTCTTGCAAGGTTTTTAACGAGGCAACCAAAAGGCGTATTATTAGATATGTGTACTCTTTTTCCTTTTCTAGAATTTTTTTCCCATTGGGTTTTCTTTTAGTTAAGGATTTAACAAGGCACATTATCTGTTGAATAGACATTCAAGGGGAGTGTTATAAATAGAATTTTATTTATGATGAATGTCTATATTTAGAGAGATTTTAGGGTTTATTACTTGATCGCTAAGTCACTCTCTCCCTATAAAATAGAGGGTTCTATTCCATTATAATTCATCTCAATTCAATAAGAATTTCCTCTCTTTTTTCTTTACAATACCATTCTTCTTCTTTTATTGTTTTATCAAGAATAGTGAATTTCACTAACTAAAATATGACAATCGAATCAGCGAAATTATATCAAAGGTCTCCCCAACACATCATGCTCTTGCCTTTTTATTGCGGCCAAGTAAAAAGGGGGAAATCTAACCAGACCCACAAAAGGCAAAAAAGAAAAGAAAAACAATAAATACTACTACTACATACAACAAAATATAAAGTGGTTAAAAGTAAAAAAGTAAAAAAAAAAAAAATGCTGGTTTATAAAGAGGTTAAAAGGTAAAAGACATGATTCGACTCATTTTTGGGCACGTCTCTCTCATTGTCCCTCACATTACAATCACCACCCACCCACCCACGCTCATCAACATCACTGATAATTCACCATGTGAGGGGAGGGAAAAGGGGGGTGGGGTACCCGAGTTGACTAAGTTTCCTCACTGAGTTGACTCACTACCACTCGGCGTCAACAGCCGCCTTGAGCCCCCACGCGGAGGTGGCGATGAGTGGCCGAGTATGCCAACCCAACATAAGACACCCATCGTTCTCTTCAACTCTGTAACCATCGCCGCCCGCAAACAACGCCAACAGCATACTAGCCTGCTTAAACGCATTCGAACCGAGATGAACCGGATTGAACCCGGCCGAGTTCATCCTAACTCGCCACTGACTCAGCGTCTCGTGTCGCTCAACTCGGTCCACACCTTCACAAGCCACCACGTTACATATCTGTCTCCCTAAATACACCTCAGACATAACCAAATCTTGACTGTTAACAATCGGCTGAGTCAACCCAGTGGATGATGTTGATACTGAACTCTCTAACGAATCAAACATTGTTGAATAATAATGTAATGCCTCGTTAAACCTGTCCNAATCGTCACGATTTTCGGGTTCATTTGTTTGATCGAATTCAACACTTTTTCTACAGCCCCAGGTCTTGCTAATAATCTATGTAGCTCAAAAACTGAATTAACAGCCACCACTTCTGTTTCAGTACTTGACCTTAAATCAAGAATCTCAGCATCAAGATCAGCTAATGAGTTTGTTACAAATCCTCGAAATTCAAATTCGACCCCAATAGTTTCAGCTAATTGCGCTAACTTCCACCCAACTTGTTGCAAAGCGTCAGTATTATCAGGCTGTGGAGGTCCAATTCCAGTAAGCCTAAATGCTGGCGGTCCACCTGGACGTAAAGCTAAAGCTTGAATTAATGCTGGCCATTGCATACCTTGTTTTAAACTGAAATCAATCACATGGACTTTATTGCAATTAGTAAAAGCTTCAAGAATTGCTTGATTTGCAGTGAAATGAGCAAATTTGAGATATGGACAAGTTTCGTAAAAGTGCATCTGTAACACATCAGTATAAGATGATTCAATTGAATCTTGTGGGTAAATTTTATAGATTCGTCGAGCTAATGCTTCAGCAAAATAAGTAGCAACTTTTCTCATAGCACCAGATTGTGAAACAGCAAGAATTCCAATGTGTCTAACAAGCGCATCAGCTACATTAAAATTCTCTTGTTGGACAGCTTCAGCACACGCCATTAATGTGTGCACAAGTCGAACACCAGTTTCTTGTGAATCTACAAGTACAACTGGCCTTGTTGTTGCATCTGTTGTTAGTGGAACACAAGATCTCTGTCTTTTATTACTCTCTGTTGCAAACACAGCTCCACCTGGAATTGCTCTCAAATCATCATCAGAAATAATTCTGTTTTGCTCATTGATAACAATATTACTAGAAGATTCACCTAAATCTTTTTCTTCAATACTACCAATCATGTCAAAATTAGAGGGAACTGAAGTATTATTGAGCTCAGATAACATGCTTTGTACCCAACCAGAAAGATCAGAAGGATTTTTATGAACTGTATCAGTAGAAAGATGAGAAATTCCATCTTCTAATGTTGTACACATAGCCATCTCAAGTTGTTCAAGTTGTTGTGCAACTTCAGCCAGATCTGAAGATTTAACTTTATAACCTAAAACAGCTAAAAGCTCATCCATTCCAGCATCTGGTTGTTCTTCTTCAAAAATCTTGGATTTACTAGAAGAAGAACCATCTTGGGAATTTTCTCTATCACGATCTCTCTTCATTTTCTTGGGATTTTCTCTAATGGGGTTTTTCTTTTTACTTTTTTCTTTTTTGGGATTTTTTTTTCAGATTATTGGGTGTTTGTGACAAGTGCTGGATTTTGACAAGGAATTGGATTTCAAGAAAGCTGGATGATGAATGGAGGAGTTTGATGAAGAAAAAGGTCTGATTTTTCTGCTTGGTTTTTGCATCAACTATCAGATTTTTGGGGACTGATTTGTTTCTTTTTTTTAATTTTGAATATTTTTTTTGTTGTTTGGGAGTTGTGAGATAGAGCAGAGAGTAGTAAGAGGAAGTGCTCGTGAAGAGGGCGCGAGCTTCAAGAGAAGATAAGGAAGAGAAGAGGCAAGCAATAATGTGGGCTTTATTTTTTATTTTTTTAACACATTTATATAATATATATAAATAAATTACTTTTATGTCTTATTTTATGAGATTCTATAAACTAATATTGGGATGAAAAAGTGGTGGAAATTTTTTAAGAAAAGAATTTTGGGAAAAGATTAATAACCATTTTTCTAATCTAATGTCTAAATGACGTTTCATTCAAAAAGTGAAGAAGAATATCGACGCACTACTTAATTACTTTTAAACAATATATCTTATAGTTCATGTATATATGCTAATTTTTTATTTAATAGGTCACAAAATAAATGATGTAATCCTATATTTACAAAACTTTTTAACTTTTAATACTCATTTTTTCTTTGACACCTTTATATTAATTAAAAATAATAATATGGTATTTCTAAAACCATAAGTATATCTTTGGTGTGTGTAAAAAGAAAATTCTTCTTCAACTTTGTACCCAGTTAATCGCCACTATATGAAATGAGAAGAAGAGAGTATTATGTAAACCAATCACTGAGAAAGAACTTTTTTTTCCTTTTTATCAAAACAAAAAAATCTTTTTTTTTTTTGAAAAAAAAAATGGTCACCTAAATTATTCGTAGAGGGGCCACAAATTCTCTGGTGCTTAAGACACAGTAGTAAAGGTGAACCCATGAGCTCTGTCTCTGATGTGGAAGTATACATGAACCTGGTGCTGCGGCAGAAGCCGAGTTACGGGTTCGGTCGAAACTCAATAACTTTTATTTATTAATATGTTGGTATTATAAATTTGTTAAATATATATACACATGGAGTAATTTAGAACACAAAAATTAGCAATTGAAATCATATTTAAAAACTCAAAACTCATATAGTTAAAATCTTGACTCTTTCTCTACCTTAATATAGAGGCAACTTTTTTTTAGCTCATTTGCGGTGCTGCCACGGCTCTCTTGTTGCCTTTTATGTTGCTGACGGGCCTATTCCCCACTTTTTTTGCAAGGAAAAGAAAATATTTATTTTCCGTTCTAATTTAGATGACACATTTCGTTTAACGAAAGTTAAATTGCATGAAATCTGAGTAATATTTTAAAATATATTTTTTAATCATATTAACATGAGAAATATTACAACTTATAGTATTTTTTGTATAATTTTTGAATATTCAAATTTTAATTTTAAAATACTGAGTTGAATTAATTCAATTTAGCTCAACATATTAGCAGAACTTGCCAAAGCAGAATAATCATCTAATATAAGAACAAGAAGATGTGAATCAAGACTAACGTATGCATGTATTCATATACCAAAAGAAATTCTCCACTTATTACTCTTGCTTCCAGTATTACCGATACATCATATTCAGCATTATTATTATATATACTATCAAACGACCCCTAGATGATGTGTTGATGATTCTATATGCGATTTGAACATTGGTAGGACCATTATAAAAAGAACTTGTTCCGTAAAATGTAAAAGATTGACAACTTACAAATCATATTACAAATATTTTCTAAAACTAAACATCGATATTATCCAACTAGATTAACTCCCCTGAAAAAGGCAGGTAATTAAGGGCAGGCCTTTCCAAGTGTTGAATTAAAATAAGATCTTTAACTTGAACATAACATCAAATTAAGCTAACACATATTTATTAATGGCTCTGAATTTCTCAATGAATTTATTCCCTTGATGATTTTGTACCTAAAAAACAAAATGTTTACTTGCACGAAGGCACAAGTTTGCAAAAAATAACAACAACAACAACAACAACAACAACAACAATCCAGTGAGATTTCACAAGTGAAGTCTGGATAGGGTAATACCTTAGCCCTACTCTGGAGGATAAAGAGGTTATTTCCGAAAGACTCTCGACTCGAGTTTGCAAAAAATAAATAACTGAAATTAGAATAGTATTTTTTTTTCCAAGGGTGATAACTGAAAAAGAACAAAGTAGAGAATCTCTATGTCCAACTAATACTACCAAAAGGATCATAATTCAATCATTTCATATTTTTTTTCTCTATTAGTAATGAAAAACTTTATCCGTATTCAGTATTTATATCAGACTTCACTAAATTATTATGGCTAAGTAATTAATTAAAGTTTAAATATGTTACTTTAATTATGATTAAGTAAAAAATGTATTTGAAAAATATGTCCTTTAATCATTAATTTGATGTAAACATCGAACATACATAAAGTTTTTCCCCGTGATAGTTGTTACTTTGTTACATCTTTATCTTCCTTCTCTGTTAAACCTGCTCCGGCTAGTCAAGTGAAACTATCTACATATGTAGGATTTTAGATATTTCTATGAAAAAAGCTGATTAGAGAAAACAGTAAAGTTGAAATGTGAGTGATTATTCCGTTTCGACATCACCTGGCAGAAATTAGTCCTTAAATTCCAAACCTTCTTGTTGTTCGTAGCACTTCTCCTCTAGCTCTCTCTTCTGTCGTCCATGTTCGTTGAATCTTTCAAAGATGTTAACGCATCCGTGTCGGATTCTTCAAGATGCACTATTCGTTAGCAAAACCAACACAAACATTGTAGTATTTTTGGAGGATCCAGACAAGATAAACAATGATTATATTAAGATTCATTCAATCCATACCCAAAAAGAAAATTGCAAGCCCAAAAAATGGAGAACAATTAATCCCAAATGGAATCGCATCGAACCAATTAATCCCAAATTTTGGTAAAAACATCATGAGCTAGCCAGTTTTTGGACTGGTTGTTCAAAAATAGCAAGTGTTTGCAAAGTTATTGAAAAATAGCCACTATTTTGCTGCAACACGGATAATTCCAGCATAATATACTGGAGATCGGTGCACCTGTGTATGAACTTCCATCATATTATGCTGGAACTCCTACACGCGGAAAGTTCCAGTATAATATACTGCAGATTGGAGCATCGGAGCTCCAATCTCCAGTATATTACGCTGGACCGGTATACTTATGCTGGAACTCAGAATAATATACTGTAGCGCCAGTATAATATACTGGAATTCCAGTATACTATACTAATTCCAGTATATTATACTGGAGTATTTTTTCGTATTTTGAACAGTGTTTTCGTTCAAATTTATCTTTACATAAAAAATGGCTAAATTTTGATTACTTTTGAAACCGTAGCTATTATTGAATGACCATTTGTAAATCTGACTATTTTTGAATTTCTCCCCAAATTTTGTTGCAAAAAGCTTTTCAATTGGAAAAATGATTCTGACAAGGGAGGTCTTGTCAGACAGACTGCAGGTCGGTAGATGAAAGGCCCTTAACCAATTGGGCCCTATTTTCATGGCCCATTTTGTTATCAAAATCTGCCTTTAGATCATGCGTATAAATTGATTGGACATTGTGACACGACACTCACTCTTTAGATTATGTATTACTAATTGTGGAAATAATTTCGGGTAGAAAATATAGAGTAAAATTGTATCAATAGACCTAGTGGGCGTTTGGACATAAGAATTGTAAAATTTCGGGAAAAAAAATTAAGTAAAAATAGTATTTGAAATTAGAGTTATGTTTGGGCATGAATATAGTTTTGGGCTGTTTTTAAATTTTTTTGAATAATCTCAAGTGAAAATTTTGAAAAATAACTTTTTGGAGTTTTTAAAATTTTTGTAAAATTTCAAGATTCATCTTCAATAAAACCCTAAAATTTTATGGCCAATGATTTTGAAAAAAAAAAAATAATAAAAAAATTACAAAAAATGAATCTTTTTTATGGCGAAACGTGCCCCTAGTGTAATTCCACTATTTCCCTCCACCGTATTGCATTGCAGGAGCTTAACAATTAACAAACCAAATTGCCCTTTTTGTTTGTATTACTTGTATGGATTTTTTGCTTACATTCTATTAGGTACTTTTTAATTATATCTATATTGATTCCGCGAGATTATAGATCTTTTTTGAATTTTTCCTTCATTTGATCTAATAAATCTATAAACCACACTCAATAAATTAAACTCTAATATCTAAATTCATAATGGAATGTTAGATATATGATATGTATTTGTACATGCATTTTTCTCACTTAACTATGGTCATTTAATATTTTTATCGCATTAACTCATTTAACCATGGTACTTTGATATGATTTAGCGTAATACCTCATACGAGTGCGTTTTTACACCTTTTTAGTTTGTCCATTAGGTTCAGTTACGAACTCGGTTACGGATCTAGAGGCTAACATATAGGTTCCCCGAAACTCACTAACTTTTGTTGAGTCTTTGTATATGTATCAAGAAATTTATTAAATATTTTTAATATTTTATTATAAATCCAATTATTAACTTGAGATTGTTAAAAAAACTCATAAACTTTAAATCATGAATCCTCTCTCTAGTTTTAACGCGTGACAGAGATTCTCAAAGGGAATTGCGGTGGTTATAACTTAATATGATTCGGTGGTAGCTGATGAAGTGATATGATATTTTGGCTGGCCTTAACAACAAACAGTGACGATTTCCCCCCTCAGACTTTTTGGAATAGTGATAACGATAAGGTTTTTTGGATTATATAACCTTTCTAAAAATAGAAAACAAGAATGACGGTTAACAAGTAAAAGTATATAAATCATATGTTTAAAAATTTACCATACATAATTGTTCGACAAAAAAGATTTAGACTTTTTATTGAACTAATTAAATAAGAAGATCTGAGGCAAATCCTAGCCAAAGATAATTTACCCTAGATCTAAGATAGAAGATAAGAATAAGCAAACATAATTGAACATAAGATTCAACTATAACAATAATTAAATCCCATTATGTAAGGAAAGGATGATGATTTTCATAATATTAAATGATAATAAAGAGTACATAGATGAAAAGGGTCACCGTTCTTGAACAAGGTTGACCCCCAAACACTTTGATCTAGTGCAACTAATGATGGATATTGAGGATCTAAGCGTCCTTGCTTCTTTCTCTTTAGCAGGGAGACAGAGATGGAGATCTTCCTTGATCTGTAAAGATATGTCCATCTCTGTGTGTGAATTTTGTGTCGGCCCCCTTTCTTCTTCCTCTCACT